CCCGTGTTGACGTTTTTCAACCTAGGAGTGTCTTCAGTTGTTGAAGTCACTATGCTGTGAAAAGTACCGTATATGATCGAACAGTATCTAACATCGAATAATTATGATACATGTTAATCAACTGCTATGTATACATCAGCTTGTTATGTTTATGTATTTAGCTACCCAGCTTGCTTCTGTTCATTTCCCGCGCAGCTATTGCGCTCAACTCCATTGCCCCTAAGCTTCTCTTGTCCTCTTACTGCTATATTCACCGTCGGTTAAGTGAGCGTTATTCACTTCCTACATCGTACTTCTGCAGTAATTTCCCTTTGAATACATCGTAATCTGTAGGGTCACTGGAGTAATTTTAACTTTTATTTGTTCATTGTAATCTTGACTATGTACTTTGTCGCGTGTTTCGTGATGGTGTTTAAATGTTGAGTTACTGTTATTGAATTTGTTTTCTCGATCTGGCTTTATATGTTTTAGTATGAAAATGCTCTAGTCATTTGAACTGACTAATTTTAAGGCTGATTGTATAAAATTCGCCTGTCATTATTTAATTTTAATTATTTAGCTGGCTCGAAAGAAGCAGCGTTAGCATCTCAAAGAGACGAAGTGACAATTAAGGAGGGACAGGTGAAAAGCAACAGAAACGAAGACACTCGAACAAGAGGTCGCTTACACGGGACGTCGGCCGCCCGCACGAGAGAGACAGAGAAGGGAAATATAAGGAATCCTGCTTACATAATAACTTAACCCCACAACTGAGATCTGCAGTCAGACACCGCGAGCTCAGCGGTGGGGCGCTCAGGAACAATCCCCCTAGGAGCGCGAAATCCCATAGGACTTCTGACGAGCACAGACACCCGTCAGAAGTCCCCCCTGAGGGGCAAATTCAACATGTTTGCAGCATCCTACACGACGATACCAATGAGAATTTGAAGATTGATTTACATTGAAGTAATTCATTTTGTCTCAAAGTTATGGTCATACGTCCTGAGTGACAGGTACAGCTATAAACCGTTATTGCACATCGCTAATGGAGTAACGTTACGCGATTATTTTCAGTGTGCCGCAAAATTTTCGAAGTCTGTTTGATGTATCGAAGCGTCTTAAGAAAATTGAACGCATGTTTTTTGAGACCAAAACGCTCCGTATGTCGCTCTTGCCCTGGCCGTGTTTGGCCTGACAGCTGCTACTGCACACAGCTAAAACGCGGATGGTGTTTGACTGCTCCTACTTATTATCGACTTCTGGGTTTACCTCTTTTTCCTGAACTAAACTGAAAGAAATAAGAACTTTATAACTTATTTCATGAGCTAAATTCGTAAACTAAGAATCTATTTCTGAACTGATGGTAGATTATAAACTGTTTCCGATAAGATTTACTTTATTTTCGCATGCTCATGCCAGTAGTAAATGAGGTGCAGGTATTGCGAATCGATGAGTCGCCGCCCCTCCTGCTATCCATAAATAAAGGAACTTATGAACACATGTCCTCGATCTACGTTTTACTGGCATTAGTCCTTCTCTTTATTTAACTTTGGTGCAACATAATGAGGCCATACGCCTTCCCAGCTCGTCTTTGTTATCCATAAAAATATTCAAGTGCCAGCAGATTTTCTTCCGTGTTAGTAATCAATGTTGTGGCTCGTGTACTTGGCTTACGTTTTTCGTCAATTTTTATTAATGCGTTACCTCGTTTACCATAATTTTATTTCTGCATGAGTTCAGAACAAATAATCTTCAACTTTTGACCCATTTTCAGGTCTGTGTTTAAACCGTGGGTTCTTAACTCTTAAAAGTTTAACACTGTCATTCCCTGTGTTTGGCGTAACTATTATACGACAGGGCGATTCACGTACGTTAATAATTTTTCATTTAGAATTTGTGGCCCTTTTTTCTTAATTGATTAAGATGGGTTTAGCTTGGTCGAGACGCTGCGTCACTGGTCGTAATGGCCACCGCAATATCTCATCTTCCTCTTTGACACTCGGCCTGACCGTCGTGCCATTCAGCCTTTCATGTCTCCGCTTCATGCAAGAATTAGGCGACGTTTCGCTTTGCTCTTTTCATGTCGCCGACGGTTTGTATATTTCGGCTTAAGCCATACCGTGCATTTTTATCCCTATAAGACCAGGTTTTCCACTCTCGGAAAAGTTTATTGCTGATTGTATTGTATTGTCACATTGTATTGCTGATTATATAGTATAGTATCACATTGTATTTCTGATCTTATTGTACTGCATGCATTGTACTGCTGGTCACATTTGGGGCACTTCGTACTCTACATATTCTGTTGCCATGTTGTATTTCCAAATGACTTGGCGAGCAAGTACTTGTACAGCAATCGTTTGGTTGGGTCATCTAATGGCACGTTCTGAGTGTCTGGTTCATTGGAAGACTTGTCTTCTTGGTCACCGGGACTGAGAGATGTCTGGGTCATGTTCTATTAGCGCTTCAGTTAATATAAGCCACCTTGCCTTGGACCAGACCTTCTAAGAGCGCCGTGACCCTTGCTAAAGTCGTCGACTCTTGCTTGAGTTCTGTGGCTGGTGTGGGGTCTGTCCTGTGTTGCTCAGTTACGAACTTGAACTAAGCTGAATCAACCTTTCATGGCTTGGTAAACCTCAGACTCTGGTAGCAATCTCATTGAATGAAAAACATCTCATTGGAATTTTCAGAGTGACGTGTTGTCCCATGTTATGGTATTGTTCTGTTTTAAGAAAGTGTTTTCATTAAAACCTTCACTGCTTAGTTTATATTGTTTCTCTATTTTGTATTAATTTATGATCCATGGACATACAAATTATGAACAACGCTATCGCATTTTATTGTATACTGCCTTCTCGTGTATTTTGTGACGATGATGTACAAGCAGTGTCGGAAGCTGTTTGAAATAGAACATTCAGGTTTTAATTGTTCCGTCGAAGCTCTGCCATAAAAGAATGCGAAGAATCCCATAGAAGAGCTACTGGAGCGGAACACTCTCGCCGCAAACGATGTCTTCATGCGCTAGCTTCGCTTCATCTTATTCAGAATCAGTTGTCATTACTTTCCCGTGCAAATTCTTTGCCATCTCGCTTGGTGTGGGTGATAAAATGCACCAAGCATATAAAGCGAATGTAAATTTGTGCGTGTAGTACTAGTGAAGCAAGAACTTCTCGAGGTCTAATGTACGCATGCTCGCTATTGCACCCACTGCATCTGGTGCAATATACAGCACGCGCCGCACCGAAGCAATCTCTCTGTGTCGCACTCAAGAATTCCGGTCATGGCATATGGCGACTTGCACGCACATTGCGCTGATTGCTGAGTGAGCGCACAACTCTAGTCCTATTGTATTGGATACAAACAAGTTGGATATTATTCGCACTCGTCCAAAAATTGACCCCAGTTGATAGATTATAGTTCTCTGCTCAAAGCGTGACTGTTCATGCTCCCAGCGATGTCATTCATCTGATAAAAAAACGGGGACTGCGAAATTTTGTAGTCGAAGCGCTTTGAAATTGGGAAACAAGCTCTTTTTTCACTTGAATGTTAAAAGATTCAATCTCTGTTCTACATGTATTGTCACAGGTTCAACAGAAGTTCACTATACATGGAAGAATTTGGTACACTCGTGTGGTCTCCAATGCAATTGTGATGGCACTGAAGTTTCGCTACAACGTTTAACCTCTTCCTTTTGAATTGCCCATATTCCCTTAATTGTTACTGAAGTGCTCGTTATTTTGTTATACCATATGTTGTTCGTACTATCCAAAACATTTATGCAAGATATTTACCCACTAACGTGAAGCCATGATGGAGAAGAAGTGTTGAGTGCGTTATGGTGACTTATGTAGTGCTGCGTAGAGAGGTTCCGGGTGGTGTGGTGGTTGCTAGCGAGCGAGGCGCTGTCGTCAGGAGGTGGCACAGCACTGAGATCTTGGCTCAGCGATATAGCCAGCCTGATCAGCTCCAAAAGGCTCTCCTGGCCGCCCTTCATTCTAAGAATGGTAATTATTTCTAATTCGGACCAAAGTTATAATTTAAGTTGAATGTGTAACGCGCGTATTCTACTGTGAAAAATGTGTATTGCTAAAAACTTAATTTCCATACTCGGGAATTTAATTGAAGTAAAAGGAAAGCTTTACGGTTAATAATATCAACTCAATTCATTTGAATTTATCCTAAACATTTGACATACGTTAACTTTCGAGTATACACTATTACGCTTTCAAAATATCCCGATCTCCTCTGCGAATTAAGTGCGCTCCGATCTCGGTGAGTTGATTTCCCCGGACGACGTGCCATTTTTGCTGCTCGAAATCTTTTTGAAGGCAACGACCGATTACGGCAGTGAAGTGGCATGGCTGCTGGTGGCGGTGGTCTCTTTATCTCGACGGGAGGTCGAAACTTGCCACTTGAGCTGCGCCTGAAATAGCTTCTTCTGCTGCTGCTACAATAATGCATTTTCTCATCATTCGGAAGCACTCAGATCTTTATGTTCACTCTGTTCTCTTATTAATAAAGGAACTATGATGGGAAAGGCCGAGGAAACAAGGAGTTAATTTTCCCTGAGAATGGGCATGGACTCGATGTAAAGTTTCTCGTAGGAAATAATCGGGTTAAAGGTAATAGTTCTTTGGGCTCGGAGTCCTCTAAAGCAATTCTAAACGGAAGCTCTTCCATTTATACAACTACTGATGGATGATAAATTGAAAATATTTTCAGACGGGTTGTATATTATATCAATGTTTATTTCTGATTTGTTTTTATTCGGTATTGATATATTGTTTTCAATGTTCATGTTAGGAGTATGCGATTATTACGCCTCGCCTAACCTATAAAATAAGAAATTAATTTAAAAAGTTCCTCCTAGTTACTTTGTCTCAATCTATTAATAAATAATTCGAATTTTCGTCATCCTCGTTAGTATTTTTGTGCTTCATATCTTTTACCAAATATTTCCCGTGTAGCGCTCAATGAATTTCGTGCTCATTTGATTAATTTTTTTTTGTTGTTGTTTTCAGACACTCCAAAATCCAGCAAACCGGGAAACTTCATCCGACAGAGCCTGCGCGGCATCCAGAAAAAGAAACAAATCAATCCTCCACATTTTAAATCCACACTCAACAGTGAGTAATCCACACTCAAAAGTAAGTAAGCCACACTCAACTGTAATTGATGCACACTCAACAGTATGTAAACCACACCTAACAGCCTGCAAGGCATCCAGAAGTAGAAAGAAGTCATGCAATCCTCAACATTTCAAATGCACACTCAACAGTAGGTATCATTTCCGCCCGTGTAACATACCAATAGAGCAGCGTTTCCATGCTAATTTGAATGCGGTTTCCGAAACGGGAGAACGTAATTCGACTTGACTGTTTCGTACAAGCCATTATAAGGTGAATAATATAGTTATAAGACAATTTTGTATACTGATGTAGTAAATAAGTGTAATGGAATAAAGAAAACTGCAGGCAAGAGACGAAACCATAAGGAGAATTATTATTGTTATAATTTGCTAACAATTATTATTCATATAGGACCAGCAACGTTGAATGTTGGGGAGAGTGAACACCGCATTTTTACTTTGAGCTAAGCTTATGCTTGTTTGTTGCGGCACTAATAGCTTACGATGATAAATGAGAGCTAAGACAAATTTTTCAGGATCAAATATATTTATTCGTTAAATAATGTTATTAGAATTTCTTTAGCCGTTTACTACAATCGTATTCCAGACTTCAGGCGAATTTGCCTAAAAACGTTTGACTCCTCGAAAGTTCCCCACAACCTCCCGGTATAATTTTGTATTCCTTTTTTTTTGAAAGATCTTGAAAATCTGTTTTTGAAAGATTTTGTATTTCTTTTTTTAAGATCAAGGAGAGCTTAGCTCTTCCCATTTCCCCATAACCTTCACACGACGGGGATATTTGTTTGCAGGTAGCCCGGTATCCACGGTACAGCACCGGTCCACCGTGCCGGTGCTCAGCGAGAATGGCAAGGATACCGTGAAGCTGGCGGGAGACGACGTGTTGCGGGCGCTTGCGTTCTACCAGGACACGGTCGTCAAGCAGATAACTGACATGTTACCAGGAGCTGCGTCTGTAGTCATCGATATGGTGCAGCTCCTCAACAAAGCCGTCGATAAAATATTACCAGACAAGTTCGTTGATTCCCGATTTCATCTTTACTTCTTATTTTTATTCATGCTCCTCACTTTCATCCATACTTGATATTTCTGCTTTCCTCTTCAATATATGCTTGCTCAGTAATATATGTTTCCTCTTTTGATCAATGCTCATTTTTCATGTCAGATCCAGCCTTACATTGGCGCGCTCTTCTTTTATCCCTGCTTCCCATTTTTTATCTATTCTGCCTTCGGCCATCCAAGTTCCGTTCTTACTTTTTTATAATAAAATATCTCTTCACCATTAACTTCATTGCCTCCGTTATTCTCGAAATCATTACTTAAAAATTATTTAATCTACTGTAGATATAACGATATGTGAATATCAATGTTCATTAAGCTCGAAACGTTGTTTTAGGCTTTTCTAAAGGCATTAGACTCTCATGACATGCTTCGCATATCAACCCTTAATACCTATAGTATAAATAAAGTGCGGTTGTGCTGCTTCATTTTCTGCTAATGGGCCATAAACTTCGATGTGGTTGCTATGACCTCATGAGTTGCTAGGTTTGGTTGTTTTACTCACAGTAAATTTAAATTTTTTTTACTCACATTTAATGTCGACCCGTTCACTAAGCAGTAATATGGCTATCGTGACATTTTCACGGGGACTAAGCTCACTTGTGTTGCTTATAGCGTTTAAGGTTGACACATTCGATTATCACTAACGTTGCTGTCATGACCTCACATGGGACTAGGCCCTGCTGTACTGCTTTAAGCATGTAAGGCTGCCGCATTAACTAAGCACTAATGTGTCTCTCATGGCCTCACAGAAGCGAAGAGCTGATGAAGCTGCAGCGGTCGCTACATTACAGCCTGGCTGACCTGGTGAAGTGGGGTGACCGCATCCTACTGTACGGGCCTGACGTATCCAACACAACACCAGTGCAAACTGTCGTCCAGAACGTCACGGATGCCACCAATGTCAGTGCCGACATATCGTTAACATTTAGTTATCTACAGTAGTTTCCCTGATTAAGATCATCTTGTACCATATTCCAGATAAGATTTACTAGCTCTATTACTGCGAGCATGTTATTCTTGGAATTTTAGCTTATATTCATACATGATACGAATATGTTTTACTGGAATAGCCATTATTTTTTTTTTTATTTCTGTATTTTTTCTTCAAAAGCTCCATTTATGTCCACATAGTTTGAATTTTGAATGCATCATTCACTGTTAACTTGACCTCTTTGCAGAATTTCGTTAAGATGGCACAGGAGCTGTCGCCAGAGAAACGCATGAGCCCAGACGCAGGCAGCGGCAGTCGTGCAGAGGAGCATTCGAACGCCTCCCACAGAAGAGGGTTAGTAATGCTAAGTGAGCTTTTCCCGCTCATGCTGGTTGCTGGTGGACAAACCAAGTTCTAAATCTCTAGTACATATTCTGAATATGCTGGTGGACAAACCAAGCTCTGAATCTCTCGGACATATTCTCAATATTCATGCTGGTGAACAAACCAAGCTCTACATCTCTCGGACATATTCTCAATATTCATGCTGGTGAACAAACCAAGCTCTGAATCTCTAGTACATATTCTGAATATGCTGGTGAACAAACCAAGCTCTGAATCTCTCGGACATATTCTCAATATTCATGCTGGTGAACAAACCAAGCTCTGAATCTCTCGGACATATTCTGAATATGCTGGTGAAAAAACAAGCTCTAAATCTCTCGTACATATTCTCAATATTCATGCTGGTGAACAAACCAAGCTCTGAATCTTTCGTACATATTCTCAATATTCATTGTCATTGATTTATGAAAAGTTTAACACTCAACTCTACTGGTGGTGTTAACTACGGTATTTTTCCAGTAGGATATGGCATTTGATTTGCAATTCGGTTTTATCTGTATCCCAATTCTACACACTGCATGCTTTCACACTGGCTTATTCTTAGCGTTTGTCTCTGGATCTCCCTTACCGTCATAACAAATTGAAAAAAAACTAAAATTTAAATAACATCTCTACGTGAATGGGCGTCAGCGACCTTATATAATTCTACCTAATTTTTTTAATATAAAGTCTCACACGCAAAAACAATAATTGAACTATTGTATAACTGCGAAAGTTTCACTTGCATTTGGTGAGAAAAGTTATTGTTAGTTCCTGTGTTTATTTCAAGTCTAACTTTTCTATCTTGAGCATCACATCCTTCTATTTGTTTAGATACCTTGTTACAATCATTTTTCATTTTTCTCCAGCTAATTTGGTTTAAGTTGCATTTGGTTGCTTTTGCTTATTTTTTGTTTGGTTCGTTAACCCTGCAGTCGCGTCCCGAGGAGCCTCCCCGCCCTCGAACCTTCCACCTCGAGCTTGTCACTTCCCTCGGTCAGCACTCAACCTCCCTCTCCTCCCCAACACCCTCGACCTCACTCCTCTCCTTCAGGAGACTCTCGTTCCTCTCCTTACCGCAATTGTACGCTCTTGCAACCTATAAGCGACGTCTCCTCTTGCTCCTCCACTGAGGAACTAAACCACTTCCCGTCGCCCTCGCCCGACACCCACAGCCTCCCCCTCCCATTCAGGCTCACACACTCGCTCAGCTCGGACTCCATACGACATGCTGGGGAAGACGTCCCCAGCAGCCCTGCGCTCAGGGGCGCCGACCTAACCGACTCGTGCCCCGGCACCACGCCCCACAGTCATGGTCTCTCACATGATATTGATACCTCGTATGATAACAGGTAAATATTTTATTCTGTGAATAATTCACAGAATCAATCTATGCATATGTTTGCCGGTGCATGCAAGGCCCTCTAATGATGGCGTAGGCAGTTGAGATTTAGATAACTAAATCCTATTTTATACGAGTTGACGTTCAACTTATATGTCATCAATGATTTCGCATTATCATCTCTTGTTTCGTGCCTCACGTGTGGTCAGCTTTATCAATCTTTTCCAGTATTAAAATTTCAAATCAGTAACTATGTAAATAAGTTTCTTGTTTCAGTTTATCAAAACCTCCGCCACTGCCGGCGAAGCAGCGGCCCCGCAGCCATGCTCGTTCTTCCTCATCGACGTCGGGCTCTCCGCTGTACAACTCAGTCACACAACCGACGTCCCGTAACGGCTCATTAATACGGTCGGAGGGTAGCGAGTCCGTCAACTCGAGCACCGACCACCTCAGTCACCGCAACTCTATTGACAGTGGCGTTAGTGTTGCCAGAGATAGCTGTGACAGGCTAAGGTCGCGATCCAGTCAAAGTGGTCTAGATGCTTCAGACTCGGGAACATTGAGACTCAGTTCTGCTTCAGCCACCAACACCCGCTCGCCTTCACAGACGTCACCGGCTACAAGTCTCGATAGTTTCAACCATGACCAATTTGAGTAAGCAGACTTATCATAATTGAAAATCTTGTACTGTTTATATGATTTTATTTCCAATTAAATCGAAGAACAATAATAAACTGCTAATTTTGCACTAATCACCTCTTGGTGTCGGTTAAACATTCTTTCTTCGTTTATTTTTTTATTTTTTGTTGAACTTGCTATTTAAGCAGACTAATGATGTAAGCATTTTATTCTCTCTGTTATGTTCACACTAATGTCACACCTCTCAGGCGGAGATGCTCACTCGAACTGGATGACCCCAAGATGGACCTGGCCTCCTCAGTCTCAGCAAACTGCGCCTTCACTGAGAGCCGACAGAGCGTCAGACTCCTAAGCGACCACTTTCCCGAGATGACGCCGTTAGTATATATTATATATTCTACAACTTACCGCCTATCAAGTTTTATTATCTTTAATTTTATTACCGAATCGGTAATTCATCAAAAAAATTTCCATTTTGATAGGAAGTTTGGTCTTTCTGATATATCGCACTGTATTCCATTACTATTAGTGTTTAACTCCATTATTTCAGCTTTTTAGTTGAATTAGAATATTCAATGTGTAAGTGAATCACGGCTAAAACGTTATCTTGGAGTGACTCATCGGTCCTTTATATTTGCAGACTTGATTCCTGCAGTTTGACCTACCAGAGCATACAGGTAAGGGAAAACATGAGCTTTACAGTTATTTAATTAATTATATCGCGGCTGGTATTTTAAAAGCTTTTTTCTGTGGTACTGTGAATTCACTATATTCAATTTCTATGATGCATTTATCATCATTGTCATAAGCTGTGCGAACTGTTCACCAGTCGCGTTCAAGCTCGACCGCTTTGTGTTGCATGAAGTTTTGATTCAGCCAAAGGGTAAGCTTCATCGAATGCTTCTAAGTCCTCTCTACCACTATACGTTTGTTTCTATACTTTTTATTTTGCAGCTTGTATGTATTTTGTCCAACTGTGCTGCCTTCTCTTTTGATCGTATGATGTAGGGGTATTACTGTATTGTTATTACCGTCTATTTTTTCGAAAGCACCTGTATTTTTTCGTCACCTGCCAGTTCTGATTGAAGTTTTTATTTACACAAGAGCTTATATTTAAAACTTATTTCTTTTACAGATCTCACTGATTTCAATTAGAATGTAAGAGCCTTGCAATGCATTAAAGATCCTCAAAGTTTCTAAAAGTTACCTATCGTCAGTAAAATCTTAATTTCAGGCATTTTTTATTCCTTAACCCTCCCGAAATAATTTTGAATCTTTGATTCATGTCACACGGTATTTCCGAACGAATGTTGATCTCTCCGCATGTATGTCGCAATGGATTTCTTTACGTTGGGTATCTCACAGACGGAAATGCGGAGCCGCAAGAGCAGCAGTAAAGTTAGCGAGATGAGCTTGCATGTGGAGAATAGTTCCTCAATTACTCAGCACCTGTACCGCGTCAGCACTGCATCCACTGCACGCTCATCCACATCATCTTCATCATCCACACTTTCGTCAGCCAGCGAGGTTTGTCTTGGTGCACTGGAGTCTTAATTTTCTCCAATGCTCGTGGAAAACGAATCGTTGTAATAATCTTTGCACAATTAGCGCTTATGTTTGATCGTCTAATAGTGATACTGCTTCTCGCATTATTCAATGTACCAACTGAGAGCTTTTGAGAGAGGGCAGAGTGCACTGCCGTGCTAGACACGAAGCATCGGTTACCAGCTTACGAAACAGCGTTGTGATGTACATGAATCAATGTAATGGTCCCAATGTGTATCCCCAGTGTGGCATTATCGTGCTAATACCTCTTTGAATAACTGCTTCATCAATATTGTGGACGTTTATTTCGAGTCCCAAGCCGATCTGCTGCGCAGGTTTTAGAGGTTGCAGTGTGATATTTCTTTGCAATGCTAAATCAATTTCATTGTACCGATCAGAATAACTTCAATTATAGGTAGTATTTCCTAATAACAGATCTGTATCAGTTTGTATAATTGTTAGTAAAGAAGATGATCCACTTCTTTGAATAAGCTCATAACTACGTCTATGTGATTTTTTCTGTCGGATTTTTATTATATTCTGTGTTAGTTCTACCCGCTATTGTGTCCTGTTATTACGTCAGCTAATAAGGCACGTCGTTAGATCATCACGTCACTCTTGCCACGTAGTCACGCGCTAATTTTATAAAATATTTATGCTATTTAAATTAAAATCTACAAATAATGAATTCAAATAAATAAATAATATGAATAATAATAAATAATATGAACAAATAATGCATCTCAATCTTCAATTAAATGAGAATTCCAATATACTGTGCGCCTTTATCCTATTTTTATTAATGAGTATAATGGCGAACTTCCGTCATTTCTGGAGATTTCTCATTTTCTTATTATCTGTTCCTCAAATATTATTTTTTTCGTCCGTATATTGAATCTTCAAAGTCACTTTCTCTCTAGTTTCTTTTGCTATTTGTTATTGCACTTATTGATATAAAGTACAAATTATGTTCACGTATTTCATGAAGGGCGAGACGAATGGTTGCAACGTACTGAGCTTGTCGGTGCCGCCTCAGCTGCCCGCCAAAACTCGCAACGCTTCGCCTAACAATGCCTTGTCAACTCTACAGAGGGTAAGCTGCGTTCTATTCTTAATTTATTCACTTACTGTCTTATTTTATGGAAGTATTTCGGTGAGTGCGACACTGCGCTGGAGTTGCCGGGTGTGTGCAGCCCCTGTTGTTAACGCGTCCTTGTGGCACAGTCTAGTCTCTAGTAGGCTTTTTTTGGGACAAGAATTATTTTCATGTCAACTAGTTTTTATATCAATTGTTGTGATTACATTCACTTAATTATAACTAGTAATAAATTTTCATAATCTCATGTCATTTCTTAATATCATGAATTTTCATAAATCATAATCATATTAATATTCGATCTATTATGATATTAATCGCTTAATTTATTTCACCCTTCAAAGTGTCTTTTATTGTTGCGATAGAACCTCATGTTTCTTCATTTATATTGGCTTTTGCGGTAACTTGCAAGCCTACTCGAGGTTACATTCAAGAAAATATCATCCTTTACATTATAGTTCAATTTTCATCGTGTTTCTCCACGAACCTCGTACGGCATCGTGTAATTGTTATCAAAGTTATACCACTATATCATATCGCACAGTAAAAATTATGCAAAATCTTTCGTTTATTGCATTGACTATCAACCTCAGTTGTGATGTATAATCCCTTCACCACAACGCATACACGTTTATCTGCTAGTAACGCCATTCCTACACTAATCGTTGATAATAAAATCATTGAATATCTCCTGTTTATCAAGGCAGCATAAATATCGTTATTTACCCAGAATGTTGTGAGTTGCCCAAGTCCCGACCTTCCTCCCAAGAAGACGTCGAATGGTGGCAGTATTAACGGTAACGGCTACAGCGGCAGCAACAGCAGCATGCTCAGTAACAGCAGCTCCAACAGCAGCGGCAGTAGCGGATATATTTCAGATGTACCGCCTCCTCTTCCCGCCAAAGCAAGACACTCGAGTAAGTTTTATTAGTCTCCCCTGTACATTTAAAATATTCCATGCTATGGAAGTGACTAAGCATTCATCGCTAAACTTTAATCTTTTATTCTGATATTTTGCTTGAATTCTTAGGTCATTATCCTTTTATTGCACTTTGATTTCAGTTACTAGACTGGGAATATAATTTTGTATCTTTCTCTTTCACTTGGTGAAATATCACTTGCTATTAAGAGGAATCAACATGGTACACGCAAGGCCTCCAATTCCATGCGTGTGGAATTGGAATTGAAATTCCTATTCCATCCATGCCTCCAATTCATTCTCATTCATATTATTGGTGATGTCTTGCAGACGTTGGCAGATACGTCTCGTCATTGTGTGAGACCTACAAGCCCGAGTTGCCGCCTAAACAGAAGAAACAGAGCTTACCGAACTCATGCGCTTCGCAAGACGGCTGTCCCGTGGCGGCCCTACGAGCCTCCGACGACAGCGACAGGCTCAAGCCAGCGGACGATCCCGAGACACTCGAGTAAATCCAAAAACAATAAAATGGTTCATCGTTATGAGTGGAAGTGATGAGTTATAGGAGTGAATAAATGGTTATGAGCGCTGGATCATTATTACGTGTGGAAGTGATGAGTTATAGGAGTCAATAAATTGTTATGGGCGCTGGATCATTATTTCGTGTGGAAGTGATGAGTTGTAGGAGTGAATAAATGGTTATGAGCGCTGGATCATTATTACGTGTGGAATGTGGAAGTGATGAATTATAGGAGTCAATAAATTGTTATGAGCGCTAGTTCTTTATTACGTGTGGAATTGACGAGTTATTGATATGAATAAATTCGGTTATTATTTGTAGGTACGAGTTTAAGCTGCATTCATACTGCAGATACTTGGGTGTCAGTGACGTAGGAAAAGTCTGAACGACGGTCGGCGGTAATTATCTTTTGAAGAACGTTTAAACCTCTGTATTTTTTTCCTCTTTACCACGTTCCAAAATTATTTTTTAAATTGATTTTAGAATATTTGTTCTATGTTGCATGGATTGAAGCCGTTCCGTTCATTCATGCCTGACCAAATTTGTTTGCAGGTCCCCTATGAACCCCGCACGTGAGGACGACCGAGGGGTCTTGGAGAAGTTCAACGCTGAGGGCTTCATCTTCGTTAGTCCCGGCGAGGGGGACGAGGGTCCCAGCGTCAGAGGGGGCAGCCCTGACGCTCTGCTGGTGCACGCCTGCGCTGCCGACGAAGGTTTGTGGGGCCGCAATGTTCAATGTAGAATCATTCGTTTGCATTAATAAAATAATTTTTACTGTTACATTGTTCAATAATTATGGTTCATTGTGTTACATAACTCGATAGTTTTTGACTGTTTTGTTGATGTCCAAAAAATGGCTGTTCCCAACGACGGACTACATCGTGATGCGATGATGTGATGTTTATGTTCAAGTTCAGATAAACGTGGTTCCTTCGAGTTATATGTATAGTATATCGTCACATTTAGGAAAGTATCTCGTTCAGTCTAATTCTAATATATATAATGTATTTCGTTTTTTTTTCTTTGTCCAAACATAGAGAGACTAAATGAGGAAACACTAATTTGATATTTCTATAAATTATTTTTTTATTGAAATTTTTTATGATATCTGTACTAAATTAGTCATTCTAAATTTTCAAATTCATGTTGCAGACCCCCTGGCAGATGACGGTACAGAGTTCAAGGATGCGTTTGTGGCAACATACCGAACGTTCATGTCTGCTGAGAGCGTCATCGAGAAATTGCTTCACCGCTACAATAAATTTAATGGCTCCAATGAACGCTTGGCTAAATTAGCAACGACAAAGTCCTTTTCTTTATTATTGAGCGTTGTTCAGTATCTTGCCATTACCGACCTCGACGTTACACTACTTGAAACTGTCTCAGATTTTCAAGTAGACTTAATTCGTGCAAGCGAGATTGCCTTAGCTAAATGTCTGAGAATAGAACTGTTGAAAAAGTTAATAGTTCGGGCATCCCTGCATTTACCCAAAGACGCGCTCACGTCAAAGAACATCTCGACGAAGCAAATGACGCTCATCGACTTCAAGGCGCACGAGCTCGCCGAGCAGATGACCGTCTTGGACGCTGAGCTTTTCGATAAGGTTAGCCTTAATGTGCAAATAAGATCTGTGTTGTGTTGTTGTAATTGCCCATCCTGGTAGTGGCGACTAGGGAGGGGGGTGATAGGTCAGTTTTTCCGGGCACTCGGTACCACTGGGAGTTCTACGACCATCACTGGCTCGCTGACCCGCCAGAATCATTTGATTGCATTACACAACACCCTGGACAAGCCAGGTACTCATTTATCAACCAGAGTTGGATGAATAGCTGAGTTGACCATGAGCTGAGCTTAGCGGGAGAACTTGTCCTCAGTGGGACTCGAACCCGGGCGCTGGGTGCGAGAGACAGAGTCGCTCACCACTGCACCACCACAGCTCCCAAATATGATCTCAAACTGAATTGCTTCATTCATTGATAAGCTAAATTGGTTATTAGTTGTTGGTATTTTTTTAACGTTAATTTCGACAATCGAACAAAATATGGGAATAACTTGTATTATACACTTATAGTGTCATCTCGCGGCTGCTGAGAGTCTTGTTTTATTTTTATTTTAGTTTTTATCAGTTTTAATTAACACAATTGTCTTCATAATTTTCAATTTTAACCAAAACCATTTGCTTCAGGTGGAGCTGCCGGAAGTTTTGAAATGGTCGATGGATCAGAGTGAAGAATCTTCGCCCAACCTGAAGAAGTTCACTGAACACTTCAACAAAATGTCCTATTGGGTCAGGACTAGAATCCTCGATCAAAATGACCCCAAGGATCGCGAGAAATATGTTATGAAGTTTATAAAGATCCTTAAAAATTTACGAAAAATTAACAATTTTAATTCATACCTCGCTATTCTCTCGGCATTGGACTCGGCTCCCATACGGCGTCTTGAATGGCAGAAGAATATCACTGATGGTCTGAGGGAATATTGCGCGCTTATTGATTCTTCAGCTTCGTTTAAAGCCTACAGAACTGCTCTGGCTGAAGCAAGAGCGCCTTGCATACCATATATGTAAGATTCTGAGCGTCAGACATAAGAAGAGCCTTCCACATTATGATTATTATTGTCTTGACCATAAAAATAATCTTGTACTCTTGATGAATTTTCACGCTGTTGAACTGGTTATTTGATGAATTTTCATTCTGTGGAACTGGTTATTTGATGAATTTTCATGCTGTTGAATTTGTTCTTCCATTACTTGCTGCCTTTATTACTACTTATTCTTCTGCGTTGAATTAATTCTGTATACTTGCATTCTTCGAGTTATTAGTTCAGTGATATCCTAGTTGTCTTCTTCATATTTAACTGGAAGCGATACCATTACAGAGGCCTGATCCTGCAAGACTTGACGTTCGTCAACATCGGCAACACGGACTTCCTCCCTGACGGCCACGTCAACTTCACCAAGCGGTGGCAACAAGCCAAAATTCTCGAAAATCTTCTTTACTTCAGAAAAGAGTGTGTATACTTTTTGATACTATATTTATTTCTTTTTTTTTATCTTAGCACTAGTAGTACCCTATAACAGTACTGATTTGAATGCTTAGAAGCTTGATATTGTGAGCTACTACTTCGAGGTAGAACATTGATGCTTTATTCAAACTATATCTTACATTTGTCACATGAATGCTTATCTTTGATGAGCGTATTCTTGTTTCTTGCTTTCTCTAAATCTTTCCTATATTTCAGAAAGTACACATTCAAGAAGAATGAACAGATCATCGATTTCTTCAACGACTTCGAAGACTACAAGGCTGAGGACGACCTCTGGGAAATCAGTAAACAAATCAAACCTAGAAATAGCAAGCGTCTGAGTTAAGCCCTCGAATTTTTTACGCCCACTACTCCTTTGATGCATAAGAAAAAATATCTTACCGTTTGTTCAGCTAATGTGAGAAATTTAACTGCAATGTCAAGCTCTCCGATTTGGTTTAGTGATCGTAATGGCTCGGTCTCTGCACTCTCCGTGTATTCAAAATTATTCTCACAATATCAATATTTAATTGGGGGCTGAGAGAGCTCTTAAAGGCTTTTAATGATATTTTAAAAGCAGTGTTGTTACTTTTACTCAAGACGAGTTAAACTAAACGAAAAATGTGAATCCAATTGTTGTAATTTTCTGTGTTACTTTTTTTGCTGACCGTCTTACTTACGTAGATATTAATGTATATTTAATTTTCGTTTATTTACCCGTTCAAGTGATTTGTAGCAATTCTACTTACTCTTAATTTTCGACCTATGAGTGGAGATGCTTGGGAAAAACAAGTAGAATTTCTCTTTTTATTATCGGGTAGAAAGGAGGCGGTAATAAAGTAATATACGAAGGAAGTAATTCTGAAGCTGTAGGTGACGCTCTAGTCCTACTGATGCCTAGGACGTTGACGTGGCGTCTAATACGTTGAGGTTCTGGCGTCACGTTAATGTCTATTATTTTGTTGTTGGTGGCCTGAATTACTGGTGAAATAGCTCATATTGAGCAACTGTAGTGCGTGTGTATGATGAGCGTTAATGCAACGTATGCGCATATTATATTTCGCTGAATTATCGTATTAATATGGTGCATTGCTCAACATTTACCAAAACCATCGAGCTGAGTAGTTGCCCTAATGTTAATGGTACGTTGTGCTGTCAGAAGATGAATTTGATTCATTGAAATGATTAAAAGTAAGACGACGAGCTATTGTAAATTTTTGTACATTGTTGAGTCACAGCAAGCGAGCATCGAAGTAAGCGATACAGTTTTCTTGAATTGTAAAAAAATGTTTGTGTTCCATCAGCTGGAACTGTGCTTCTGCAATTCTGATTGGATTTTTGTTGCCATTTATCTTGTACTTATAGGAATAAGAGACGCTAGGCATTTCTATACCAATGAATTTATGTTAAACTATTGCAAAACATCGAATGTACCGTAGTGTTTGTGTAAGCGTGTGTGCTTAACATAATCGCTAGTGGCACCCGGAGACCAATTCTTCATAATGTTGCATATATCATAATATTCTGTCCAATAGCTAGCATTTAAACCAAAGACTAAATATTTGCTAGAAATGTTTTAGTATAAGGACTTGTTGGCCAGTTTCGTTTCGCCCAACGTGTTTAATAATACATGCAGCCTCTAAATGGCCAAGGCAGCCTCATGCAGCCTCTAAATGGCCAAGGCCTCCTCACGCAGCCTCTAAATGGCCAAGGCCTCCTCACGCAGCCTCTCGATGGCCAAGGCATCCTCACGCAGCCTCTAAATGGCCAAGGCCTCCTCATGCAGCCTCTAAATGGCCAAGGCCTCCTCATGCAGCCTCTAAATGGCCAAGGCCTCCTCATGCAGCCTCTAAATGGCCACAAACACGCAGGATTATATTGTGCACGAGTTTTTATGTCGAAATATGCTACATAATTTTAAATTTTTTCTGAAACGATCCTTTTTATATTAAGGATTATTTTCACAGTTGGTTTGCTCCATAAACTTGACAAGCAGAAGAGGAAAGTTTCCGATAAAACCTCCATGAAGGCGGTAGCAAAAATTTCTTTACTTGAATTATTGTGAAGCTCAGTGTTAGATTAACTAACACGCTTACCCATCTATTGTTTTCACGGTGTCTGTCATGTGGGTAATATGCCGTCTTATTTTTGTGCATTTAGCCGTTGAATAATTAAAGGCCTCAAAGGAATGGTAGCAAAAGAGGGCTAGTGTCTTCTCTGCAAACACACGATTGTTAAACCTTAAGATCTCCCTTATAATAATTACTGTAGCATAGATCTTAGCAGCGTAATCAAAGAGTCGAGGCTGGTCTGCCTTCTTAAGGTTCCAGCTCCAAGAGAGGATATAACCTTTTTTTCTATGCAATATTTGATATTGCTCTTTGTCTGCCGGGCAGTTTCAGTGATTTTCGTCAAGACTGAAATGTTTTATTCTCGCGGCAATTTTTAATTTGTTCGCCTGTGCTTCGGTGTAAATTTCTAGTCAGTTTTGAGTCATAGCAGCGGGCAGTTGTGCTGCCATATGAGCCCGTGTCTGGGCAATAATTTGAGCTCATCTTCGTCTGGTGTTCCATGTACTTTTCACCTGCCCATCACCAGCACTGGTCGACTGTGGTTCATGCTTGCTGATTATTCCGTCAGTATTTCTCTCTTCATCTTTTCTTTCGGCTTTTTCCAAATCAGTCCAAAGCACGGAACAAGGAGCGGAAAATTTGATCTGTGCAACTTCGTCATTATTTTTTTTAATCATTTCCTCTAACTTGGAAATTCAATTCAATTAAAATACGTCCCAAACTTTATTTTCTAGAATCTGGGTTGAGATGAGCTCGCTTGATCGCCCACCGCGCGTTCGTATGGCGGGGCCGCTGCGACGATGAGACTCGCTAGGTTTTTGACGTCATCGATTATTGTACAATCGGTCCTGCATTTCATCTTGATTTGTGTTCAGATATCAGATTTTTATTGAATTATATATTGATTTCGATGATACTGTGTATTTTCTACTGAATAAACTTCAGAGGGTGAAACTGAATTATTTTCCTTTGTGAACCCTGTCACAAACCATAGCCTATTTATACTTCTCCTGAACACCTCCTAAATCATTACAAATTTTTTAGCAATCCATCGTTCTGAATCCATCACACATGGTTTCAAATTAACTTAATTTCTAGAGTTATAGGTAAACTTTGAGGCGATAAATAACAAGCTCAAGACCACACTTTTTTTATAAATTGTACAAATGTTCAGTATTCACCCGCCACGCAAGGTTGAATTCGACGCAGTTTTAACTACGCCGTCTGAATTATTCTCCGCTGCTGCCGGTAGACAAGTCATGTTCAGAGTCCACGTCAGTCAAGCTCCTGCTGAGCTCGTACTGGTCATACACGTATGGGTAAACATTCGCGTAGTGGATCACGTTGAACTTCCTAAAGCCATGCTTGTAATAGAAGTTCAAAGCCGGGACGTTGCTGTGATGTGTGAGCAGCTCTGCGGACCTGCAACCGATGTCACGAAGCTCCTTTTTGGCAGCAGAGAGTAACCTGTGGACATCAATAACCTGTGAACCAAGGTTACTTGTAGACATCAATAACCTGTGGTCATCAGTAACCTGTGAACCAAGGTTACTTGTAGACATCAATAACCTGTGGTCATCAGTAACCTGTGGACATCAGTAACCTATGAACCAAGGTTACTTGCGGCAAGGTTATTCTCGGCAGAAACCTTGTGAGCTTCTTACGTTATCTTCAAAAGTACTAAGATTTCAAACGTATGAAGTATGATTGTGCATCATGCAGACAACTGAATAAATGTGCATCATGCAGCCACACTTAAATAATAAATATTGAATGCAATCAATTATCTATTCTGTTACAATGTTCTTTCTCAACGTGGGACTGGGAATTCTCGTTTTCTTCAACGATTAAGTTCACTACATCTTTAATATAACAAAGTATTAATGAAATATATTGGTTTCAACTTTTAATTGGACCATATTGGCTTGTAGCCGATTTTGACTATCTGGACATCTTTTCCACCAGAATTTTCACAGCTAGTTGGGGGTTTGCTTCTTCCCCCAACTTGCTCTTCCGATCTTGCTGCGTTCGGCCACCTCGCGGTCATGAAAATATTAACATATCTTGCTAGCAGCATGATGGTAACCTTTTCCGGCTTCTCAACCTGGATGTTTCAAGAACAAAATTGATTCCAAATCTGCTAAATGAAATGAACCTCGTAAGAAACTTTGTAAACAATTAAATTTACAGTTAATAAGTCACCTCGTTCCCAGCCCGATTCCCCGAAAATTCTTTTGGATGAAAAAGCGCGTGATGACTCCAATGTCTGGTCGGCTGCTCTGCTTCACTCCTGCCGTGGCCACCACACGACCGTCCACCACCGCAACCAGGAACTGCCTGTGGTCATATGACAGATCATTGGTCTCATTGAATTACAAATGATTCACTAGCGTAACCAGGATACCTGCATCATATATGCTTATTATGTATATACCTACCAAGCGAACTCATTACTTGACAATCTTCCTCTGTTGCCAAGCATAACTCGCCAAAAAGCGTTAAATAGGAAGCCAAAAAGCGTTAAATAGGAAAACTTGAAAAAAGTGAGATGACTGATATTCATCCATATAAAAATATCCTCACCCTTTAGGCTTTGCAAAAGCTGTCAGGACATTGATGACATCATCCCCGGCTTGAAAAATGTCCACCCACTTGCTGAAGAACACCAAGAATCGTATTGTTTCTTCCACTAACGTCACTGAAAGACCGACAGCAATTGACTGAATGACGCTCCACTGCTCAAAGAAATGTCGCTTGTTATTGCTAAGATTATTGGTTAAGCAAGAGGATATCTATGAGTCAATTCATTTAGAATCCCAAGTTGGTCCTTTAGCATGATTTCTGTCGCGCAACAGCATTGCCTTCAGAAGTCCTGGCATTATTCGATTGAATTGGAAGCTTAAACCTCATAAACATCATCAGATGTGTTATCTAATTAGTAATGAATATAAACGCGCGGGTAGTGCGCTCATCTTTGTATTCAGTCACTGAATCTCTTCTATCGTTCTTGAGACAGTGAATTTGAGCCAAGCAACTCTGATAACATCGCATGAAATTATTTCAAAGCTAAGTTCAAGCAACACGGTTGGATAAAAATAATTCCTTGTATTTTCCAGTCTTTAATGTACGGTCAAAATTTTGAAAATTACAAACTGCCATTCACTTTAAATAGTAGAATGTAAATTTAACCTCATCAAAATTAGCATGATTCCAAACCTCGGTGAGGGTGTGCACAATAATGGTAAAAACGGCCATCATGGTGTACGGCCACGGATGCCTGATGACAAATCGTAACTGATGAACTACGATATCAACAGCCATGTCGCGCTGCACTTCTCTAGACAGTTGAACGACTTGACTGCAGTCCTCCTCAGTGACGGGTCTGATAAGGATATTGTGTGCCATGGCATGTGGTGACGTCACCGTGCAGTCGTCCCAGAAATTCTTCACCTTGCAATATTTTTGCCAAATAAAACTGGCTTCACTTGCTTTATCAGAATATGAATTTAGTAACGCGGTTAAATGCAAATGTTTAATCAAAACTTTTTCAAGTGACAATTTTTTTTGGTTATTATGACACGATCGATCCGCAAGGTCACGTAAGTTCGGCTCCGGCACACAGTGGCAACAACCACAGCGCACTGACGCAAAACCTCGAGATGAGGCTCGGCATGCAGGCGCAACGAACGTACAAACCTAATCAGTGCTCTTATCATGAACTGCAACGTTTGTGGCAAGCAACACTTGACAGGGTCAGGCACGCTTATCCTGCCCACTGAACTGCAACGTTTGTGGCAAGCAACACTTGACAGGGTCAGGCACGCGTATCCTGCCCACTGAACTGCAACGTTCGTGGCAAGCAAAATTTGGCAGGACCAAGCGCTCTTTAGCCAGGCATGTAACATCCAAGGCACCGAGATGCATGCAAAAGTTTGCTCATAAATGAGGTAAGTTGGGCTCCCGTTGGCATTGCTTCTCATTTCATCAGCAATTTTCTTTAATTTTGATGTCAGCCAGTCTTGAATCTAATCACAATTATTAGCAAATGACAATACAGACTCTTAGCCTGTCATTAAACTGATCCGATATAACGAAATTTGCACCAAAAACTTCAAAATTATATTAATTTAATTCGTGTCAACTTTTTATGATAATCATCAACAAGAAACATTACAACTGTTATGTTCATCCATTTATATTTAACTCATGTGAATATAACCGGGAAATTTTCAATAAAAAAATACGTCAAGTTATCTCAAGACTGACAACTTTTTGACAGTAGTAATAACGTGAATTTCGATGGTAAATGATGCCGCAAAAATTTGAATGAGCGCGGCGCTTCATGTTCATGTACGAAGAAGATTGATGAGACTGGCAGGCTGCAGCAAAGATCATTTCTCAGCTGCAATGATGAGCGCAACTTGACAGACAACTTGTTTCATTACGCGTTCTGCAGCTCAGCACTTCACGCACGGCTTGAGTAATGAGTATCGTTTGCGTTGGTACTTACATCGAAACCTATTGCAGAAGTTGTCTCCTGAAAGCAATTAGAGTGCATCTAAAACTTGCGTATTAATATTAAATTTATTTCCCAATCTTAAGTGGCAAATGGTGCCTCCTGATGGCACTTGCCTAATGACATTTTTTATCTTAAATCACTATTGACATTTCTCTAGTGATTTAGAATGCGTAGCAGTTTTAAAATGAATAAGAATTTTACACCCAAAATTCCCTGCAAATTGGAATTTGGTTATTAATAAGCTCATCTATAGAAACTGAATTGAAAATTTAATCTAATTTATGATTTGAGGCATAGACTTCATCGACTCCAGACATAGACAATTCATCGACTTAAGAGGAAGTTTAAAAAATACCAGAGCGGCCCATTTTTTCTATTAAACATTGAAAAAAATTTATATAAATGTTGTTTCAGATCGAGTCAGTCTGAAGCCTGAATGAAATAAGGAAGCTTATCAAGTATTTTTAAATTTTTATATTGGATGAATTTTAATATGCAGCTTCATCAAACCTATCTCGAGCTCTTTAAATTTTTGTTACCACGTACAATTCTTGCCAGTGCCTATGTATTGCCTTCGTCTTACCTGCGCTGCATGCTGGCTGAAAAATTCCACACTTTCCATGGGAATCATGGCACAAAGAGCCAAAATTAGGGTAAAGGTTGTCAGAAAATACATAGAAATTACAGCTCGCGATCTGCGACTTGAAAGAGTTGGATTTAACATATTGATCAACTGAGCTACCCTTTTAATATATTAATATTTTTAGTGCATTAATTCTTGTTTTCTAAAATGAAGTCGCGATGCGAATGGCAAGTTTTTCTTGTTGACCAATTTGATTTTCTATGCATTCATTTTATATACTGAAATTCAAACTCGCATGACCAAGGCTTTTTTTTTTCATCTGAAATCTAGTTTGCGTTAGTAATGAATAAATATTGAATTTATTGTGTTCATCGTAAAATTCAATTTAGCTAGCATATTAAACTGACCTGAAAGTATTGCATTAGGCCATAAGCTGTACAGCGCAATATCCCGACTTCTTTTGTTTCAGCGGATGGAATTATTCACCCGGAATGCATATGAATGAACTGACTCTGACTTTGACAAGTTTCGCATTTCGCTCGGCCATGACACCTTTCCAGTGCAAATTTTTAATTCCATCCGAGTCGACGTCAGTAGAGTTGATGATTGTAGACAAAATTTTTTCGTTATTTATACGCATTGTGCAGTGCATAGAAAAAGTTTATTAAAGTTGTTGGATCTTCACCAGCGACAGTATCGACTAATTTTAATTAATAATTAAATTAGTGTTCTCACACTTAGGAACAAGCGGCATGGTCATTCTTCTTCTTTCTTAAGTATAAACAGATATAATTTCCTAGCACCACCCGCGGAATTTTTTTTCATCATGAATGCCGTCGACATTTCCATGAAAGCTGCCGGAAAAAAGGCAAGGTCGCCCTGACGTGGTAATGGCACTGAACAAGCCAGGCTCCCCGATGCGATATTAGTATATAGTCTCTGTCATCAGCTCACCACGAGGCTTGGAGTCATTATGTACGAAACGCCTGCTTGGACATTGAGATTTTGACTACCATAAACGTAAAATCGCCTAATATACGTGATATCAGGACCGCATACGTCTGGATTGTTATTATATCAAATCGGGGCCTTATTATAACCGAGATATAAGTTAATATGATGAGATCTTGTTTCATACGGTAAGAGCTTTGGCAACTATGGTGCGCTCATAAATTTCGTAGTTGGACCATTACAGAACGGACTTCACTGTGACAATGAAGTACTTTAATTAAGTAGCGGGAGGTAAATTTGTTGCGTATGATGAAAAATTTCTGCTTGGTAAGAGAAATCCTGAAAATTGGAAAATTGATTAATGCTTCGCAGAAATGGTGACAATGGCGAATGCTCGGGGGGTGTTACATTTTTTAAATTTAAGTGCTAGAACTGATTTCTCAAACTACTTAATCTGTCATTGGAGAAATGGCAAATTTAAGAACGATATTATTCTCGCTCCTTGAATATGTTATTTTAGGGAATTCCGATTTTCTCTCTCGCTGAAAGTCTGTTGTGGTAATTACGGGAGCTTCTGGAACAATGGCTGCAGCGCGCCATGATTGCAGGTCCTCAAATGGGACGGGAAAACATTATCTTTACTTGGGTATGACTGGAAAAGGGGCACTTACCAGCCCCTGGCAGCCATGACCAGCAGGCTCCTTAGCAAAGCAATGCATACGTAAAGGCTTCCTGCTCAGAATGCGCGGGCGCGCAACTTTAATCGCATATAATTTGCGCTTTTACTTTAAATTTTCAGTGCATGGAGGTACCAATTTGCTGCTACCATTGTCAGAGACCATGCAGTGACCTTTTTGAATGTTCTTGGCACGATGATTTATCACGGTAAATGCTTTTATCAGCTTTAGTTTTTAAAAAGACCACAACTTACTTCAATAGCCGTTCAGTTTTCAATAATTTAGCTTTATTAACAATGAGTTTTAGGGATATGACATACAATAAAAATGTTTGATTTCGTAAGTATCTTGAACGCCTAAGTTAAAATTCTGTACTAATTACGAAAAAAATATTTTTCTTTACAATTAAATCACCTTTCTGCATCAATAAAATGTATCAACAATTTTTTTATACTTCGTAACTATTGGATTATAGCTGGCACACAAAAAAATGAATGATGAAATAAAAGAAGGTCGAATTGCTTCGAGTTAGTTCAAAAACAGGATTAGGACAAATTCATTCCTACATCAATATTATGGGGAGAGGAAATTGACGTCATATTTTGTGACGTCTAATCTTGCGTGCCTTTGCAGTCTCTTATCTTTGCCTTATAAATTCGGCAAAATGGAGTCCACGAGTCGTGGTGGCAAAAGTTTCTTTTAAAAAACGCACTGCTAAATAGTGAGTGTGATAATGTTTTGCGAATAGATGTTACTAATCGGTGCATGTGCTGTTCTTGAAATGTAATTCGCTTTGCTTTTAATGCAATCTATGTCTCTCATAATTTCAATTTTTTCATTTGAAACATTTGCTGAGTATATTAAAAATTAATTAATATATATAATTAAAAATTATATATATTATTTAATAATTAATTAAAATTAATGGTCGAGGAAATAGTCGACGTTTGAGACGCCGAAAGCTGCTATGTGAGTTTTCGAATTGTATACGGAAGTTTTTGCGGCTTTCAAAGTGCGAACGTGTGGGTCTGAAATAAAGTTCACCCAATCTCATCATCACAATAAAACAACTGAATCAAATGCTTGGCAACTGTTCTTAATATTATGTCAGCAGTAACAATTGACAACTCTAAAACGAGATAATTAGAACAATCGCTTAAACTTCTTACTATATTTCCTATATTTGGAGGCTCACTGAGCGACCCTTTACCAGACCCTTAATGGTCGCTTAATAAGACCCTTAACGAGACCATTAGGTGGCCATAAACGAGGGTGTCAGAGTGTCCAGCTCTCTATAAAAAGCATTCCAGGGACTTGTAGAGTCTTAGGAATATCGTGTACTGCAGGTTTTTTCGAAGACCACAACATAACTACTAGTAGCAGTTTTTTATTGTCTATCTCAATTTGACGAATTGGACTTCTAACGGACTTGAAAGTTCAAATACTAGGTTTCTATGAGACATTCATTTATCATTATATTACAAAGTTTCAAGTACGCGCTTTTCATTATTAAGTGATGTAAGAGTTCTCAAGTAGTGATTTGGCTAGGGGTAGAAGTGACTATTCCCTCAAGTAGTGACTTGGCCAGCGCCGTACTGGACATGGCAAGGCAGATGGCAGCACATAAATGAGCTCATATACATGTGTATCGTAGTGGTTGAAAGTTCGTAGTTGTTGTCAGACAAATATAGTTTAATTCAGTGCCTACTTTTCTTCGTCAAATTGGAAAGAACAATAACAAATTGTTAATAGGAATTGCGCTTTGATCTCCAACAACAACAACAACAACAACAACAACATTAAAGAACTACTTATGCTCAACTATACCAAAATAAGGACGCAACTGGCGCATCTATTTGGTGCCATTGAGCAGGTAAGACGCGCATCCACGATTCTCGT